GGCAGGGTCTTACTTTGTCACCCAGGCTGGAGTTCAGTGGCATGAACACGACACAGTGCAGCCTCAGCCTCCTGGGCTCAAGCAATTCTCCTGCCTCGGCCCCACAAATAGCTGCGTCTACACACTTGCGCCACCACACCTGGCTAATTTTTGTATTTTTAGTAGAGACAAGGTTTTGTCATCTTGCCCGGGCTGGTGCTGAACTCCTGAGCTCAGGCGATCTGCCCGTCTTGGCCTGCCGGAGTGCTGGGATTACAGGTGTGAGTCACTGTGCCCGGCCCACTTTATTTCTTCAGCCTTGGTTTTTGTTTTTTTTTTTTTTCTTTCTGGGATTCCTTGTATACAATGTTAGATTGTTTGACGTTGTCCCACAGCTCTTCAATGCCCTCCTCTTTTTTTCTCTTTCCATTTTAGTTTTAGATAATTTATCTTGGCCTTTAAAATTATTCACCAGTTCTTCCTTGTTGAGTATACTTATGAGCCAGTCAAAGGTATTTCTCTCTGGTACTGTTGGTTTCTGGTGTTTTATGCTGACGTTCTTGAAATTCCTGGTCTGTAGTACAACGTTTCAGTCATCTCTGAGTGTGCTTCTGTTGATGTTTTTCTCTCTTGATTGGGGATTCACATTTCTCTAGTGCAAGACTTTTCAACCTCAGTATTTTTGATGTGTTGAGCCAAGTAATTCTTTGGGGTTCGAAGAAGGGGCTGCCCTGCTCATTGTTTGGTGCTGAGCAGCATTCTGTTGGACACTAGGTACCTCCCCCAGCTGTGACAGCCATAACTCTGTCACCTGTGCTCCCGGCCATAGGGTGCACTTTCCCTCCCAGCCAGCCCCCTTGTTCAGCAAGACAAGGATCCATGTAGGCCTCACACCGAGGAGGCTTCCCCTGGTCTCCACCTTCCCTGCCTCCTGTGAGCACCAGGAGCCAACCAAGGAGAAGAGCGAGCAGCGGGGCTCACTCCCGGGGGCTGCAGCCTCCAGGCTGTGTCCTGCGGGGGGAGGCACTCACGGCTGCCTGGATTGCCTTTCCGTTCTTGAGTGACTTTGTTTTCTTTGTTCTCCTTAGAGCTAATCATTGCCTCCCTATTTGTTTTTTGGTTTCTGTGTACTTGTTATAAACCCATTCCCAAGCTGATGGAATTGCACGTTTGTATCCTCAGACACCAATTGCTGGATCACGTATCTTCGCTTTACTCTTATCTTGGTGGTACATAACCTTTAGTTCTTAAGACACGTTGCTCAGAAGATAACTGTTTTGAGCCTTTGAATTCTGAAATGGTCTCTCTCATGTCATGGACACTGTGGCCCTCCAGTTCTCCCCTCAGGCTGTCTCCATCTTCCATGTCTTTTTTTTTGAGATGGAGTCTCGTTCTGTCGCCCAGGCGGGAGTGCCGTGGTGCGATCTCTGCTCACTGCAGCCTCCGCCTCCCGGGTTCACGTGGTTCTGGTGCCTCACCCTCCTGAGTAGCTGGGATTACAGGTGCTCACCACCACGCCCGGCTAGTTTTCTTGCATTTTAGTAGAGACGGAATTTCCCTATGTTGGCCAGGCTGGTCTCAAACTCCTGACCTCGGGTGATCGTCCCACCTCGGGTTTACAGCTGTGAGCCATTGTACCTGTTTATCTCCCAGGTCTTTGAGCATAATCGTGCTAGTGTCTCCCGAGAACTCTTCTCTGTCTGCACATCTCGGTGCTCCTCAGAGTCCTGGTCTTGGCTGGTTGGCTTTAGTCCCTGTTTTTGTCTTAGCTCACCACACACGAGCACCTGCTGGACGACATGGTCTTACCAAGGAGACGGGGGTGCTGGGGTGCTTTGGCTGCAGCAGTGCTGTTCCCACCTTTGGACTTTGTTCATGTTTGCTTGGGCAGCGAGGGGCAGAGAGGGTGCCGCTGGGCAGGAAGGGAGGGTCCCCATCTGCAGACCCGAGCTGCACTGCAGAACAGCTGGGATGAGTCACAGGTGACCCCGACATGGAGGCTTTTGTATCTCGCCTAGGAGCAGGGCCCACAGTGGAGCCTGGGTCTGGTTTAAACCAGATCCAAGGAAGAGGAAGGAAGGGAGGGCATTCCCACAGCTAATGAAAGGCCAGCCCAGGACAGCCGCACACCCCGCTGTGTCCTAATAAGCCCACCCTGCAGAGTCTGTGGACCCTGCAGAGCCTGTGGGCACTGGGTATTAAATGGCTCTGAGAAAGTGGTACCTGTGTTCCGCGGTATAATGGTTCTAAGGTTATATGGAGTATGATTTGTTAGCAATGCATATGGAGTTATTTATGGCTAAAATGGCATCATTTTACCCCTAGGTACTTTGTTATATATTCCAGCACACCCCTCCAAGCCCAAAAGGTTTAGGGGATGGCTTGAACGAGAAGGGAAAATACTGGTAATTTTTTAAATAAGGCACGGGCACATGGGGATACATTTTACTTTTGTCTCTATTTTTGAAAGTTTTCTTAACAGAATAATAAAACAGTGAGACACAAAAAAAAAAGAAAAGAAAAGAAAAAAAGCAGGAAACCCTTTTGTAGCAGTAGGCTTGTGTGGAGTGAGCTCTGTGGCCACCTCTGCAGAGGGTGACCCCTCACCTGTGCCAGGTGGGGCGGCTGGCTGCGTGGGCCTTGTCTGAGGCTCCGTCTCGCCTGCTCTGTGTTTGCAGCAGCTCAGCCCCTGCCTCCGGAGCTGGCCCCGATTCTTTAGCCTTTCCAGGGTTCTGCTGGTGGGGACCCACCTGCAGGCAAACAGGTTTGGGTTATCTCTGCTTTGCCAAGTCAGTGCCTATTTCAGCTGCTTTCTGTCCTGAAAGCACAGCTCCTCCCCTCAGTGGGCTCCTTTCTTGTTCTGGTCCCTCCTTCAGGGTCCGGTCAGCAGCCGGTGAATCTGTGCCCTGCCCTGGCGGACCTGGGGCGCCCCTCCCACCCATGGTGGTTGACTACCCCTAATGCCTCTGTGTTTTTCCCACCTTGTTAAAGGATTCTTTGTTTTATCTCTTTTTTCTCAACCCTAACTGGATCCCATTGCCATTTATTTGACATATCCTTCCCAGAACATCTCCTTCCTTACGTTCTCCTGCCATCCTACCTGGACCCCCGACCTCGCAACTCCCTTCTCTGTTTCCTTGTTACACAGCACAGAGCCAGAAACATATAGCGTTATCGATTTCTATGATCGTATAAATAATGCATGCTGATTGTAAAATAATCCAGATACTACATACATGCATGAAGAAGAAAGTACAAATCACTTGTTATTCCAAAACTGAGGGAATCATTCTTAGTATTTTTGTATGTCCTCCCAGACTTCTGTGTGTATAACCACATTGAATTTTTGAAAATAACTTGTTTCTCCTTTAATGTAAACATTTTTCAAAGTCAGTAGCTACAAGTGCTCTGCAGCCGCTGGTCCTGAACCAGGGATTCACGCAGACGCACTTGGTGGTGGTGGTGTGGAGGGGGCACTTTTTCAGGACGTACATGTGGTTCTACGCCTTTCAGGTCCTGTTCCATAGGTATGGGGTGGTGCGCAGACTGTCTTTTAAAAAATCTCCTGGATGATTCTAATACAGCCTCATTTGGGCATCGGGAAGTCTCTTGCTGGCTTCAGGGTAGATGATTTATGCCACCTGGGCGTGCCCTGCAGCCACTGTTTTGCAGGTAGACAGGTTGGTTGCTCCTACTTTTCTGTTGTTGCAAAAGCTAGGTCCTTCTAGATACATGCTTGTGCACTTAATTACGTCTTCAAGTGGAGTCTTAAAAAAAGATGATGTATTTGCAAGCTTTTTGATTCATGTCTCCGAGTTGCTTGCCATGAAGTTGGGACAGAACTCACAGTGATGGTATGTCGTCTCTGCAGACCCCACAGACACCAGCTTTGCAGTGTGCCAGACCAAATGACCAAATGGGAAGAATGTCAGAGGCTTTTTATGTTGAATTTCTTTGTGTAATTTCCTTTGGGGGCATTTGTAGTTCTTCTTTTGTGAATTGTCACTCAATTCTTTGCTTATTTTTGGGGGGCCTACTTCTTATTTTCTTACTGGCTGTCAGAGAACTCTCCATAGCAAACCAGTAAGGCTTTGTCCGGTGCGCTCCAGAGTGCCTGTCATCCTGGGTGCCCTCAGTGCTTTCACCTCCACAGGCGCCTTCAAGTCCTGGTCCTCTCAGAGGCCTCCACTGACCGTGTCCCCCAGGCAGGCCCCGGACTCTGTGTTCTGCCCCTTGCCCTGTGTGCAGGTTCCTCTGGCTGCCCCAGAATCCTTGGGGCTCCCATAGATTCATTATGCCATTGCCCACTGCTGGCCTGTGATGGCCTGGACTCTCCTGCCAGGTGTCTGTTCATGTTTCCTTGGTACCCAGCCCAGAGCCCCTCTCGCCTCAGAATCTTCCTTGACTTCTGCCAGAGTTGAGCAGCTGGCCCTCTGATAGGCACATATGAGTGGATGCGGTCACGCCTGGCCCCCTGCATCTGGTGGGAGTGGGCGCACCTGGCCCCCTGCATCTGGTGGGAGGGGGCGCACCAGCCCCCCCGGATCTGGTGGGAGGGGACGCACCAGGTCCCCCGGATCTGGTGGGAGTGGGCGCGCCTGGCCCCCTGGATCTGGTGGGAGTGGGCGCGCCTGGCCCCTGGATCTGGTGGGAGTGGGCGCGCCTGGCCCCTTGGATCTGGTGGGAGTGGGTATGCCTGGCCCCCTGGATCTGCTGGTTGTGCAGATGGTGGGCGTCTCCATCTCTGGGCTCCCTGTGTGTCCCCGGTGCTGGCAGACGTATAGCAGGTACCCACAAAGCCAAGCTGGCCTTGCAGCGCTCGGCTCAGTCAGTCCACACCTGCTGAGCAGCTCCTCTGTGCCTGCACTGCCCAGCACCTGGTGGAGGGAACGCTGGCCTCTCGTGACTCTGACACTGACCACCAGTCTTGTCTGATTGCAGTTGGGCCGGTGCACAAACAGCGTGGTCAAGTATGAGCTGATGCGCCCATCCAACAAGGCCCCGCTCCTTGTGCTGTGTGAAGACCACCGGGGCCGCATGGTGAAGCACCAGTGCTGTCCCGGCTGTGGCTACTTCTGCACAGCGGTAAGAGCCCAGTCGGGTGGCCTCTGTGCCCTCCACAGGCTTGCTGTCTGCTCGCTGGTACTGGTTCCTGTCCTGTGTCCACCTGCTGTCGGGTGGTCCAGCAGCTTGGCCCAGGTCTGGTGTCTGTCTGGAGGTCTCCAGTGTGTCACAAGCCCCTCACCACCGCTCTTGAGCCCCAGTGCCTTAGACACTTTCACCCCTAACCCCCATTTCCCTCCTCCTGCCTGCAAGCCGCTTTCAGAGATGACTAGGACGGTGTGACCTGGACTTCCAGGCCGGAGGAGGGAAGTAGGGGTTAGGGGTGAAGGTGTCTAAGGCCCTGGGGCTCGAGAGCAGTGGTGAGGGGCTTGTGATGCACTGAAGACTCCAGGTGGAAGCTGTACTGAGGACGTTCACCCCACATGACGAGGGTGTACAGAGCACACAGCTCCCGGCAGAGGCAGCTCCACCCTGCTGTGCCCTGGGCTGTTTCTGCTGGGATCTTGGGTCATCAGTGACTTCACTGTCAAACATCTGTGCTCAGCCATGCCCAGGGCCCCCTGAGAATGGGCTGCTTCCCTACGGAACTCCCTTGTGTGGGCACCCTTGTGCATATAGGGTGTGAGAGCGTGTGTGTGTGTGCACATCTGTGTGAGCCTCTGCCTGTCAGCGTCTGTGCGCGTCTGTGTGTGTGTGTGTGTGTGTGTACGTGCGTGCACATCTGTGTGAGCCTCTTCCTGTCAGCGTCTGTGTGTGTGTTTGGGTGTGAGCTTCAGGCACCCAGAGATGCCCTGCTGCCCCTTTGTGAACCTGGGCCAAGAGCTTCCACTTTTGGGGGCTTTTCTTTGGACTTCACACCTTGCATGTCGTCCCCATCTTCAAACATCCTTTTTTTGCTTCTGCTACATCTGTTTATCTCTGACTTTCTGCAAGAAAGTGCTGTTTTTATGGCTGTGTGCCCCTCCCCGAGGCTCACCTGGGTTGCCAAACCACATCTGCTGCACTGCCGGGCACGGGGGCAGCTCCAGCTGCCTGATGCTGTGCCCTGAGGTTCTGTCGTCTGGCCCTGTCCCTATCCGCCCTTCAGAATAGAGGCCTTCTGGGCCCTTCTTTAGGCCTTCTCTCGGTGGGCAGCCTCAGCTTTCCTGGGCCTGGGTGGGTCGGAGGCAGCCAAGTGACCTCTGTCTGGCTTCAGCTTCCTCTCTGTGGGGCGAGAGCACCGCGGGAAGCATCGTTCCTCCTTCTTAACGATGCCTGGGGCCAAGACTGGACCCCACCCCGACCCATGGCTCACTCTGCAGACCGCCCGATGTGGGATGCGGTGCCAGTTTAGTAGTACTTTATTTTTCCAAATACTAACCCCAATTAAAACAAAAAATTTTTGTTGTCCTCCCATTTTTAGGGTAATTTTATGGAGTGTCAGCCAGAGAGCAGCATCTCTCACCGTTTCCACAAAGACTGTGCCTCTCGCGTCAATAACGCCAGCTATTGTCCCCACTGTGGGGAGGAGAGCTCCAAGGCCAAAGAGGTGACGATAGCTAAAGCAGACACCACCTCTACCGTGACACCAGTCCCCGGGCAGGAGAAGGCCTCAGCCCTGGAGGGCAGGGCCGACACCACAACGGGCAGGTACCTGGCACAGGCTCTGGCTGGGCTCTCCGGTCGTTACCTGAAAAGGTTTCAGTTGTTATTTTAACATTATTGCTTTCTGCTGTTTTTCCCAGAAGTCTCTGAGCTGATGCTGATGCTCATGGTGATTTCTGACATTTAAGACACTGAAATTCATTTATTGCCGTTTGTACATACGTTGCTCTCTTTCAGTTTGGTCATGTAGATCCCTTTGCCTGTTTTGAACCGGTGTTCACAGCACCCCCATTGATGTAGCCCTGTGGTGTTTCTGTTGCCGGCACAGTCCCGTCGGTACACAGGCGATAGAGGAGTGGTAGCTGCTGCAGTCTGTGACTGAGTTCTGTGGCATTGAGGTTTGAAGGCCTTAGCTGAAGACAAAAAAAGTATCAAATAATTAGAAGTA